TTGTGTCTTCCCCAAGGTGGAGAGCAGAGACGGGAGTTTCCTGGAGACCCACAGAAAGGCTCAAATCCCGCTGCTGGGGGCTCCGCCCTCATGACCGCGCCCAACCCTGATAACTTGCTGGAAGCTCTACCTCCAGGCCCTGCCGCACTGGGGGCTGCGGTTTCAGCACCTTAGTTAGTGCTCAGGGTACACGGACCCTCAGTCCAGGACCTGGTGAACCAGGTTGGACAGTCAGAGTGTCCGGAACAGCTCGTGTACCAGGACGTCCAAGTATCTGTATTTGGTGCAAGGAGGACCTTTTCTAGTCTTAAGAAAAACGTGATAAGAAAATAAGCAAAAGTATGAGTTTACCCAGGTAAAATAAACATGTGTGCACACATGCACGAGCACACACGCCAACAGAACTCAACGTCTGTCTTCAGTGACGAGGACCTCCGGTCAGTTTTCTGCTTTGCACCCCGATGGTGAGAACAACTGGGACCTACGGAGAGCTGGCCGCTGCTCCGCGGTGTTTTACAGACTGTGGGAAATGTTGGTGTCACCCCCACTTTTCAGATGAAGAGCTGAGGTCCAGAGCTGAGAAGAGGGGTGGGGCAAGCAGCGCCCCCCCAGGGGTCACGGCCCCGGGATCCCGGCTCCGCCCCCCACCATGCAGACTGTCTGGGTTTGCTCTCAGGACCGTATTTCAGAGCCGTGCTCACGAACACCCGGCCAGATGGCCTAGAGGAGCAACGGGGCCTCCTGAACCAGAGGATGAGTTATGCCTAATGTGCTTTCAACATCAGCACGGATGTGTTTTCGGTTTTAAATGGTCTCTGGTAAACCAGATTATTAGTCACATTTCATTAGAGTCGGAATAGAAAAATGGCTCCTTTCAACATCTGTACCAGTGTTCCGCATGCTCGTTACTAAGTACAAAGACATGTGTGTCCTTGGAACTCTGAAGGTTAGAAGCCGAATTAAAATTTTATCTTAGTGTTTATCCTTGGGTATGGAGTAGGAGATCAACCTTCCTTCATATTGTTCATCGGCAACGATGAATTGCACCCTGGAAAAATATCTCAGTAAATTCACTTCACCCATTTAGCAGAGACGTCAGTGTGACACTTTATCTCGGCAGGTGGGACTCGGTTGCAGTTCAACATCCGGGCGGTTGGTGCCTTGTCCTTAGATGTCTGCGGAACCTCGGCCCCTTCCGAGTACAGTTTCTGAGGCGCCTTCTGCCAGTTAGGTGCAGCTGGCAAGGAAAGCCAAGTGCATTTGCCGCCCTTTCTCTAGATCACTTCCTTCCGGGTGAAAGCCCATCGTGAGAAGGAACAAGGCAAATGTGGTGATGGCGGGTGGGACTCCAGAGAAGTATTGAAAATAAGCCTCGAAACCCAGTGTCCGACACGAATTCATTTGGCTGCTTCACCAGATCAGTGCCAGACCGCCGGGATCTGTGTCCGAGCTCTCCCCTCTGGGCCGTCCGCGAATCTGCTCTGAACTTCGGTTTCCACCTCCGAAATGTGGGAATAGAGATGTCAGCTGCCCTACCCATGAAGGACTGTGTAGGGTTTTGTAAGGGCTCCGTGAGAAACACTTAGCAAGATGCATAGTAGGTATTTTAAGTGTCAGGTGTTGTTATCATCATTCTCATCGTTGCTGTCTTTGTTGGGGGTTTACAGTGTCGCGTGTGAGATCCTACATTACCAAGACAAATGAACGAAATAAATCATATTCCTTGCTAGGGCTCAAAGTACAGTTCATTTTGAAACAGCTTCGGGTCCCCCTAACAGGTCTTCACTGGATCAGAAGTGTTACGGCAGAAATGAGTGAGGCAGGAGTCTCGTATGTGTGGTGGGAACCGATTTCAGGAATTAGACAGTAACGCTAAGAGGATGGGAGGCGAGGACACAAGTGTCGTTCTAGAACAATAGAGGTGAGGAGGAGGAGAAAGTGACCTTGAGGCTGGTGTGGCTCAGTGGATTGAGCACCGGCCTGTGAACCAAAGGGTAGCCAGTTTGATTCCCAGTCAGGGCATATGCCTGGGTTGCTGGCCAGGTCCCCAGCAGGGGGCGTGAGAGAGGCAACCACACATCGATGTAGAGAACCCTTCCTCCCTCCCTCCCTTCCCCTCTCTTTAAAAATAAATAAATAAAATCTTTTTAAAAAAAAGAAAGGAAATGACTCAGTCGGGAGGCAGTGTGTGGTAGAAGAGCCCCTGGACTGAGCAGGTGTTTCACACTCAGGGAGGGGCAAAAGTAGGTGCACGGTTTCCCGTATGGAAAAGGCTACAGTAATTAATGCCCCATAATGCGAGAACGAGCTCTGCTTTGCGTGCTCACCGCTGTGACCTGTGCCCCCCCCCCGCCTGGTTTTACAGGGAAAGAGAGAGGCTCCTGGGACCCAGAAAAATAACCGCAGCCCAGACTGGGCTGTTAGGAATATCTGCGAGCCAAGAAGGCCCGGGAGAAAAATCGAAATGCGGTCTTTGCGATGCGGATCACTCCCTCTGGCAGCCCCTGAAGTTCCATGTCCAAGTGGTGCCGTTCGTGAAATAAAACTTTTCCCCCCGTAGAGACAGTAGTGGTTGTAGTGATAATAAAACCACAACAAGCATCTCCTCTGCCATAAACCCTGTACTGGTGATGTGCTTTGTGCCCCATGACCGGTGCCAATCTTGGCAGGCTTTTTTCTTCCTCAGGAAAAAGGAAATATTTTGAAAGATGGTAAAGCATAGAAGTAGCCATTATTCACCACGGGCCCGGTAAGGGGGGCTGGGGAAGGCCCCTCTACCGCGGAGAGGAAGGTTTCACATTTGCATTGCAGCTGCATCCCACACGGGCACCGAGCTCCTCTCCCACGGAGTGAAACAGTTTCTATTTCAGGAAAGAAGGCCAGAGCCGTGCGAATCGCTAATTAGTAAGATGAGTCAGGACCCTCTGTGCAGAGGAACCAGGTAGGAATGACCAGGGAATCTTGTCAACACAACCATTAGCTGCAGTGGTTAGAAGACGTCACAGCCTGGAAGGGACCGTTTTTTCCACCATGTGGGAGTCATTAATAAATCAATATCACATTTGACAGTCACCGAATTAGTCTGAGACCAGCTTCAAAGCCAAGTGTCTGGAAATCTGTATTTGTTTTAGTGTATCAAAAGACAAAGGGGAATATGCCATTTTTACATAAAGCTATGTTCATTATGGACAGAAGAGCAATTAGCAATCTATGGGGTAAAGCTGACCCAGTTTTGTTTTTTGCTTAATGGTTTCCATTTTGTTCACTTATTAAAGGTAGATGAGGAAAAAAGAACTCCATATTACTGGGCAGTGTGAACACCATCAAATTATCCTTATAAAGTAACCAAGTGTTTAGTTTTCAACTCGTGATTTAGCTCAAAGGGAGACAGAGGTTCGGCTGGGGGACACTGTCTGGACCAGATCGCATGTCGGGGATAAGGTCAATCTTCCCAAAGGCGTCTTCAAAGCTCCAACCCGACGCTCTTCCCACATTTAAATGGTTAGTGTTGCACCTTGTGCTTGGAGGAAGAAGGTGTGAACAAAGTGGCAGGTATGTCGCCCTGCAGCCCGCGGGCGGACGGACGGAAGTGTCTGGGACTCACGTCTGCGCCCATGTGCCAAGTCGGCGCGGCCCTGCATAACCCGGGGCACTGGCAGCCCATCCCGAAGCCTCATGGTGAAGGTAAATTAAATGAAAAACAAAACAACCCTCAGTAATGCTTGCCTGGTGCCTTTTTACGTCAACGCCAGTTCCCGCTCGTATCTGGTTCTTGTGGTTCGGTAACGACCCTGGTTGATTCTGACAACCTCAGAAGGGGCAGTAAGGGGTTTGGTGAAGTTCCTACTTTCTAACACCTTCTTAGAAGTTAAAATTCTCCTCTCCCTGGTTATCCCCAGCTCTTTCCACTTGCTCGCCATCACCATTGGTTTTTCTCAGGCTTCCCCCGCCGCCGTGGGCAAGCAGACGTGTGTTTTCAGGACCTGAAAACACATGGGCTTGCGCTGGGTGGGCTGCCCAGAGTGCGGTGGTCCCCTGCTGGTGCCCGGGAAAGCGGCTCATTCCCCGCTCCCGGCACCGACAGACTCGCCTTTTCTAAGGTGCTCAGCGGTTGTGTAGAGTTCCTGTCGACGTCCAGATGTCAGACTCAGGATGTGAAGGAGCATCGTGGGTCAAGGAGGCTTCTAGAGGAAGTAGGGGCACCGAGAAACCGAACCGAGAGCTCCGTGAAAACCTAATGAAGTCCATAGAATGCGGTCTCTCGGGAGCTTTGAAAGAATGATTTGGCTGATTGGGACAGAGGCCGGGACATTGGTTGTTTTAAAACTCCCCCCCCCCTTTTTTTTTTAATTTTAGAAAACAGCCCACACTAAAGAGAAGAGGTCTTTCTAGGCCGTGTCTTTCAGAAAAAACAGGACGGAAGAGCAGAGCAGTGCGGAAGGTCATAAGGCATCCGAGGGGCTGCAGGGAGGGGCTGCCTCCCGTGTGTGGGACTTTGGGGGACTTTGAACATGTCCTTAGCCTCCTGCGCCTTGTTTTTTTCCAATCATAAAAATGACAATAATTACACTTGCCATCTGTGGGCCTCACAGGAGCGAGGGAAGACTAATGAAATGTCTGTCGAGGGCTTTGAACTTTCCAGAAGAAAGCTTTTATGACTCCATAAAGTACAAAGGAGTGTCCCGAGCCTGTGTTTTTTCTGGCATGGGCCTCAGTTTCTCAGGCCCTTCGCCCACCGCCAGCTACTGCTCCCCTCCAGCTGCTGCTGCTCCTCCCACAGATGTTCTCATTCCGGTCACGGGACCCGAGACGCCCGTTTCCTGTGTGTGTTGCGGTGCTTTGCAGACAGGGAAGTCTGGTGGGACGGCACGAGCACCAATGTGGAAAACCTCCGCCCGACATTCCCAGATGACCCACGAGTGCGGAGACTGTCCTCGTAGGGCGCCAACTCGGAACAGTGCAAACCCTCTTCTGTTACTGCAGAAGAAAAGCCCGTCCTGCCACGATGCAAGGTTGGAGCTTGCAAATGTAGTTTTAAAGTATTTACGTTCCGTCAGCCTCTCTTTCTTTCTGACATGTTGGTTCTCCTTGAAAGTGGAGCCGGAAATGATTTCTTGGCTCTCGAAATCAAAGCGCGCGTCTCTGAGGTTGCTGATCCCATTTGCAGTCGGTCAGGGGACTGGGAAGGGGCTTGGTCTGGACACTGTGCCCTGCAAATCAGTAGTGGTCGTGGGGACCCTGAGGGGAGTCAGGGCTGAGGGCCACAGTCAAGTCACGGCCGCGGGCCACTCCAATCTAGCCTTGAGACGCTGAAAAGAAACCTTAAAGCGCATGCGGTTGATCTCTAGCCTTCGAGCCTCTTCTAAGCAAAAGGGAAAAAATAAGGCTCATAATTTGGGGGCCCCACTGTGGAAGCACTGAAACATGACCCTTTTCTTGGCCAATGCTCTTGTCGCAGGCAGGGACGCTGAGTGAATTGACTACTCCAGTAAGTTCATTGAATGTTTTCACGCCAAGCGACATTGGAGAATTCGCCGGGATTAGGAGATTTTGTCCAGATCCTCAAAAAATTCCATTCTAACTTGCCAAAAGAGAATCCTCACATATTCATCATTAAATTTAAAAATCTGACAGTTTACTTAAACCATGACAGACCCCTGAGAATGGTACATACACACCCCACACACAGAGCATGTTTTGTTTAAGTACAAGCCTTAGACTCTGGTATCGTTTTCATAACTCTTTGAACATGCCTCACTTATTACCTGTGGAAAAGTTAAAAAACGGGACTGCCGCTCTCTCCCCCATTGTCAGGGAAAATGGAGACAACGGTCCCGGTTGGGGGTGCTGCCCGAGGTGCAGGTGTGCGTGGGGCTCACAGGAAATGGGAGCATCCGGGGCTGTACACGCGAAGCCCCATTCCGGCCTCTGTGTCCTGTGTATCAGAGATTTGAAGAAGCTGCTCTCAGCCCCGGCTCTGCCACCAGACACAAGCGTTGCTCTTTGGTCGACGCTCACAACTCTGTGGAAGAGAATGGAGAGAGGCCCTGTGAGATATTTGGGGTGGGGGGGGGCTAAGTGCTAAAAGGTAATAGAGGGAAAAAAATGACCCTCACCTTCAATCCCAGAAAGAGATCGAATACCCCTCAAAACAGGCGAATAGTCCAGGGGAGGAATCATAGGCCGGCAGAACCGTCCCGACTCTGACCTTGGGGAGGACCCCTGGAAGACTCGCACTTCTCACGCACGCTGAAGAGAGCCGGATCTCAGCCAGCACCCAATGCCAGGTCCTTACTGTGCAGATTGACTTGCCGTTCCAGCTGTTTCAACGAGGAGAACAGACAGCGGAACAAACTTAGATTCAGGCTCACGGAGTGGGCAGTAAAGGGTTTAGAAACCCAAGCCCGGCCCGTCTCACCGACGGGTGCGAATCTTCAGGGTTTAGGCCACGGTGACACCGCTTCTCCAACAGCTAATATTTGGACACCTGCAGATTAACATTCAGTAAACTCACGACTTTCCAGAGGTCTGCCCAGGTTGGGCCAATGCGTTCCCCATCAACAGCACACACCGCGGCCACAGCTGAAAAGACAAACAAACCACAGACATCTGGGGAGGGTCGGAGCAGGGACGCAGGCCAGAGGACGCCCACACGCCGCCCCCAGCACAGCTTTCCCTTTCTTTCCACTGGATTGTCTCCAGCCCCCCGAACCTGCTGAGCCGACACGCCGTGAACTTGGATGACCAGGGGAGGCACGGCACGGCCAGCTGCGTGCATCTGGCGGTCTGCTCTTTCACCTGGCATCTCTGGACGGCAGGCCGCTGGCCACACTTTTGGACGTAGTAAGTTCAACACTTTCCCAGCTCCCCAGCACAGGCAGCGAGAAAGCGTCTCCGGCAAGATGGAGTTCGCAGAGGAGACCGGCAGGTCACTGCTCTCCCACCAGCTTTAGAGAAGTTCCAGCTGCAGACTTGCAGCCTTTGTCTTACTTCTGGCCCTGCTCTGCCGTTCACGGGAGGAGGAGCTAGCTAATAGGGGTTCTCCTGCACGGTTCCGACGGCTCTGTGGCGCAGGCCTTAATTTCTCCGGAAGGTTTATAACACAGCCCAGAGCCTTTCCTGTTTACTGACTGGGGCTGCCTGTCCATCTGACACCACCCCCGCCGAGTCCGTCCTGTTCTCTCCGGCATCTGTCCATAAGTGCTGGTGCCTTGTCAGCAAAATGCAACGAGAACGCCGTAAACTTCCCCCCTTTTGCGTGGAGAAGGACTTAAAATTCTACTGAAAGGGGAAAAACGCGTTCCAGTCACTGCACTGCACTGCGAGACATCACCAGTGCCTGAGGGAATGTGGGAAAGAATCCAAAGAGATGGGGCTTATTTTGAGCTGGGGGATTCAGAACAAACCGTGGTGATGGAAAAGGTGAGTCCATATGTAGCCCTGATGGAGGCAAAGTGCAGAGCTGGCGACCTCAGGCTGCGTGTGGAGGTGCCAGGAAGTGCACCCCAGCGGCCGAGGGCCCAGGAAGGCACAGCCGGAATTCACCTTCAGCACCGTGCACACCTGCAGACGTGAACTGAGCAACACAGGCACTGTTGGAAAAGTCGGTCGAGGCTGAGGCTTGTAGGACACGGCAGCCTGCTGGGCACACGAGTCGTGAAAGTCCAGATAGCTTAGGCCGGCAAGGAGGACCCTTGGCAACTCCCCCACCCCGTTCCACACTGTCCCAGCCACATAAAACCTTCATGACTCCCTCCACAGGGCCCGGGCTTTCCGGAACTGCTTTCCTATCCCTGCCTGGAGCAAACTGGAAGTCTCCATCGGGTCCCACTGCCCCGAGAGCCTTTATTCCTGTCCTCCCGGGGCCCTCCTTTGGAGCTCACCCACATCCAGGCAGGCCCATCTGCCTGGGTCCCATTCTGACTGGGTCCAGGTTAAAATCAGCCACGTCTTGCCTACTGAGGTGTAGGAAGAGTGGGCGCAATCTTTGTGCGTTTCTCTTCTGTGCAGACCTCCGGGAATTCGCCGTGTATGGAGAGGGGACTCAGCAACTCGGAGTGGGATGGATAAATGAGGGAGTGGGTAGAAAGATGGGAGCCTAAGGACTGCATGGTGTTTTTTGGAAGGCTGCCTTTGACGCTGAGTTCTACAGCTAGCGGCTCAATGTGTTGTGAAAGAGACCGTCTGCTGGGGTGTAAGTAGACTGGAATCACGCTGATTCCCGAGGCTGGCTGCGGGCTGCGGGGGTTGGCGTAGGGAGAGAGAATAGTCCACAAAACGTGTCTTACAGTTTCCAAGATTCTGTTTATCTTGAGCTGCAAAATACCTACCAACGAACTGAAATTAGTTATTACAGCATCTGTTTCACAGACGTGCATTACGTGAGATGATCTTTTCCTCAAACTTTCCCAAAGCAGCACAGACCACAGGAGTAGCGTCCAGAGCCCTGAGTCTTCGATTCTGAACTTTCCCTTAAACTAAATGCTTGGTGCTTACGAGTAAGCTTTGAAATAGTATTTCTAAATTGTATTTAGTAAGGTAATATGAACTGACTTTAAACAACAAAGTTATGAGTTAGTGATACTTTTTTAATATACGAAAAAAAACCCGAGATATAGTAATTGCATCTGAACTACTTTTGATAATTAATTAGAATATTGGTAGAGAAATACAGAGAGGTAAAGTAAGGCTGTCTGTGATTTTATAACTTGTTTTCGACATGAGGAGTAAACACCTTCTTGTAATATATTCTTGTGCATCTTTTACATTTATATGTAACCTTAGCACAGTAGAGTCTAAGGTAGAGATTAAAATGCACCAGTAAATAAATGGGATAACTGGTTGAATTCCTGATGCAGACACCCTCACTTGGTACATGGAGAAGTGACGCTCGCTGTTTTGAAAAGGAGACTAAATAATGAACATGTGTTTGTTACGAAGCACGTGGCACACGTGTGCCACGGAAGGGGTCTCCCCCTCTTCTCCAGAATACCGGACCGAGGTGTAATACGGTCCACTGTTTCCCCCGAGTATGCCTGCCAGCGAGTCGGAGCGGGAGGGGCTCTGGGCCGAACACCGAAGCAGAGTGAGCACGCACACACCGGTGCGTGTTCCTGCAAGGAGCAGGAACCTGGATGACCAGAAAACATGGAACTGCTCCCCTCCAAACCCGACTGGTTCTGGTACAATGTGGCCGCAGCTCTCCCGTCTGGCAGACGAGCCCTGAACCACGACAAAGGGGGGCTTCGTGAGCAGAAATTTCAGCACCCAAAGGCAGCAGCCGGATACAGGTAAAATACAGCGCAGTATGTCCAACCATCGGAGTGCTGGCCTGGAGGTTAAAATTATTTGGTTTAAAATAATAAGATCCTCTCAGAAGGGTAATAAAGTTGCTTGGATAAAGAAAATAAAAATATCTTATAATGACAGCTTTTGCATAATGGAAAGATAATTATAGCCTCTCCCAACTGGCGGGGCTATGGTATTTGGAGCCCTTTGGATTCCTTATGGTCAGACAGCAACGCAGACACCATGACAGGACCCTGGCAGGCAGCCTGGGGGGTGGGGGTGGGCGGCAGAAGGCAGCTGTAGACCCGTGACAGGTGAGATGTGCAGCTTCTGTGGCAACACAAGGCACTTACCCCGAAGCACAAAATTCCCCAGAGGCAGCTCTGTGTCTTGGCGGAGTTTCTAGCTCAGACATAGAGGGCTGTGATTATATGAAAATATGGACAAAAAAGTGTGAAAGACAAACAGAGCCAAGAAGGGCAACGGACGTATTTGTGATTGATGAAGCTCTGGATCTGAGTGCCTCGAGGAGACGCACAAGAATCTTTGTCCTTTTCCATCTATGCTGTATCCGTGTGTGATGGGGGAAGGGGGTAAATGTTAATCAGGAACCATGCTGATCTGGGCTGCAGGGGGGGAGGGGTTTGTTAACAGTGCTACACAGGAAGTGCCCTGCCACCTATCTTTCCATGTGTAACCAGAGATATGTTTTCAGCTCAATCAGCAAGGAATGTAGCCCGCCTAAAGGGAGTTTTGATTTATTCTAGGATTGCCAGATGTCTGGCATTTTGAAAGGCTACAGAAAAATTAAAGGGAAATATGTGGTCCATTCATTATTGAAAACATCCCTTGAGGGTTAGTGGGACACTCTGAGCGACATGGCGGCGTCACTGGGTGGCTTGTTCTAAGGAAACTTTGTTCAAGGAGGGACCTGCACCAGGACCTTCGCTTGAATCCACGTACTCTTGGTTCTTTGGAGAATTCGGCTCACTGCTGTATGAGTACATGAAAATGGTCCAGACGGAGACGTTGAGGAATCTGTGGTTTATTTCCACGTGGATGAGGTTCACCCCTCCTCACTCCCCTTTCTCTCTTTCACTGCCCCCAATCCCACCCCAAGACAAAGTATTTTCCTGAATCTTCACTCTGCTTGCCCCGACCTGCCAGCAGCTTTGAGTCTCTCAGTGGCTCCCCCAGCCAATCCTCATACCACAGTGGAGCCATCGGTGTGCTTCTTTAAATGCATTTTTAGGTGCATTTGATGCACGGTATTTTTAGATGCATCAGTAAATGCATCTCAAAATAAAGCATCCCCGGTCATACCGAAATGCTACTGAATGAGATTCAAAAGGCCCCTGGCAACACTTGTTAGATTTTGTGCCTATTCACGGCTTTGGGAGATCGATGAGGATATTGAAGAGGGGGCAGCTTTTACAGTTTCCTTGAAGGTCACTAAATCCAGAGAGCAGCCGAGTCAGCAATCTTCGTAAATGTAAACTGTTCCGCCCGGGCCTGCCCTGCCCAGGTTGTTTCTGAAATGCGAGGAGCACGGAGTAAAAGAGAGGCTTCCCTGCACATGTATCTTGAGTTAGTCCTGAGGGTTAGAAGGACTATTGTAGAATCTAATTTCTACTTATTTGCTAATTATCAAATACCTATCGACTAGCTCAGAAACAAAGCCCTAAATGGATGCCAGGGACCGAAACCAGGAAACTATTAACTTTAAATCAGCCCCTATCATAGACTCACAAAGTTTATATGTTTCCAAATATAATATTATTGACAATTATCACATGACGATGAAGTTCGAGTAGATGGTTAACACATGAAATTGCGGAGTCTGGCTTTGGTCTTAAATGTTGTTTTAGTCAGTGGTTTCCAAAACGTCTTAAGTAATTGAAGCCGTCTTTTTCAAATGAAATCTTACGTAAGTCCATCATGTTAAATGTCAATAAAAGTGGAGTTCTGTTTGAAGCGGCGAAGGGAGTCCAAACCCGGTCAAATATCTAATTTTGTAGACGCGATGGAGGCCAAGAGAAGGTCTTAGTTTGCCAAAGGTAATCAGCAGGAAAACTGTGAGTACAAACACACAGTGTTTGATTCCCAATCCAGGCGTTTCCCCCCGAGTGAGCATGGAGCAGAGATCTGGCCACAGGAGGATTTGGTCATTCGGGTTGAATGACTTTCTGGTTCGCCATGGCTGCCACCGCAAAGGACCAAAGTCTGGGGCAAACGAGCGATTCACCGCCCCGCAGTTCTGGAGGCTGGAGTTGGTGGTGAGGTGTCCCCAGGGCCGGCTCCTTCTGGGGCCCCTCCCCTTGGTCTGTGGACAGCTGCCTTCTCCCCGCATCCTCACACGGCCCCTTCTTATGTGTCTGTGTCCTGGTCCCCTGTTCTTATAAGGACACCAGTCATATCAGATTAGGGCCCATCTGCATGACCTGTTCTGCTTGAATGGCCTCTTAATAGGCCCTATTTCCACATACAGCCACATTCTGAGATACGGGGTGGGGTTAGGATGTTACATGTGTTTCTTTGGAGAGGACCCAGTTCAGTTCCCATAGCAATGACCCAGCCTAGACCGAATGCGGCTACACTTTTGGAAATACAGAAGTCATCCCCAGGGGATGCTGGCCTATTAACTTGTTGGACCGGTGATTTTGAATGACGGGTCGGTGAGAGGTGATCCCTTGTGAGGGGCATCGCCACTTCGTGCAGTGTTCAGACAACAAGCACGTTATACAAACGTGCTTTATAGACACGCACAC